AAGATCGCGGACGATTTGGCGACGAACGTGGCGTATGTTTTTTATTGCTGAATAGCCCTACTTTTTTCGTAGCCGCCAAGAGTATGGTCCGTCAGTTATTTCTGGCATGCCAAGTCTTCGAGACAGCGTTGTTCCCTCAGATGGGTAAGCAGCTCCGGGAGTGATGCACGCTGCACCGCTGGCCCCTGCGCTGACCCCCTGCCGGCCCCCTGCTGCCGCCCGGGCCCGGCCCGGCCCTGCGCCCGCCCGCCGCGCCCTGATCCTCGAGGTTCGCGTTTCCAACAATAAAATGCGTCGGGACGTAAATCGTGGCCGCACTTTGGCGCCCCGCTCGGTGTTGAGTGGCTCACGGGGCCTCGCCGGGGACGCGGCGGTCGGGCGGCAGGACTCCGATAAGCATACACGTCGCGTCAGGTTGGGGCGGGGCGCAGCGACAGCGACAGGCCGTTGAGACGCCCCAAAACGCTGCGCCTCCGACGTGCGGGCTGACGCGGGAGGACGTGGACACCTTCCTGCGCGCCTATCTTGTTCGGACAGCCTCCTTCGCGTGATGTTTCGTAGTCATAGCCTCGGTCATAGCAATAATGCCGGATACCAAACTTTGTTGCAGAGTAAATATTATTCTTACGTTAGAAAACACGAGAAAGGCAGAGTGGGTGTTCTAAACCGTCCATCTTTCTGAAGGTCAGCAAGGGCCGCTACGTGACCGCTCCCACGTTAAACCATAGGCACCAAAAATTAGCGACAGGGAACGTGTTAATGGGCCCTGTGAGTTCGATCACACGTCCGAATGCGGTCTAATATATATGCACTACTTGCTGTTTTTGTGAAATTGTTTTTGTGGTTGCAGTAAGCCTGCACTGACTACATGGACCGCCCGCGCTCCCCGGTGCACTCGTGGCGCGTCGCCTCGCGTGACTCCCCCTCTCCCTCTCTTTCACTCCCGCGTGCCCGCCCCGTTAGGCCCGCGGCCACACTCCTTGAAATTATTACAAATCGTCTTTACTCGCGTTATTAGCTTCGCTACCGCTGCCAGCGGCCCCGGGGCGCGCGGCCGCGGGCTCGCTCGCGAGTATGCAGAGGCATGCGCGGGGACGTGCTGCAGGCTGGTGCCCACTAACGGCCCCGCTCCCGCCCGCTCCCGCAGCACCACTGACACACCCCTCGCTGTTTGTTCGTGCGCTGTGTCGCTCGGGGTCGGGCTGGCCCGACCCGACTGTTAGGGACTGGCCGGTGCTCGTCATACCGACCCTACAAAGAACCTGTCGTCACGCTGTCCGAAAAGATGATGTGTCCAAGTCGTGCAATATTTTCCAAACGAAAATCATCATGATATGCTAAATTGGTCGTGCAAATTTCATAAAATGAACTTGAACTGTCTTGAATTGAATTTGAATTGGACTGAATTGGTTGAATTGTTTTGAAATTGGTTTTAATCATTGCAATTTTGATTTATTGAATAAGCGTGAATTGACTTGAATTGGCTAGAACTGACTTTGATTGAATGTAGTTTGTCATGAGTGGGATTGATTTGATTAAATGATTTTTGAATAACTTTGAATTATTTCTGAATTGCTTTGTATTAGTTTGAATTGGGCAGAATCAGGGGTGTACACCCTCGTGATATGCACTCTGCACTTCATCCACTGTTGTGCCTTTCTTTACAACAGCTATTGTTTCTCTTACATAGAAAATAGCTCTAGTTGTTTACTGTAGGTTATAGGCGTGATGATTGAAAAGTGCCCCCCCCCCCTTTTTTTCTCGCTATGAGCTTCGGTCTCTTCGGGGAGCTCGGCTATAACTTCCCGAACGATAATCTCCATGTTCAACATGGGCATCGCCGGACAAACGCCGCGCGGCGTTCGGTAGTCCGAAATCTCCCCCCTCTCTCTCTCTCTCTCTCTCTCTCTCTCTCTCTCTCTCTCTCTCTCTCTC